AAGTATCTACGTTTCCTGAACACAGTTACTAAAAGACAGCTCACCGTCTTGTGGGCACCACACTCCCACTTTATGTCCTAGAGGAGATCATTGTTGGGTCTATTGACTTTAATCAAAACTTAACCTTCCCTAATATAAGACAAAAGACAAATTCCTAGAAGCCTCATTTCAGGGCCTCAGTGTGGTTTCAGTGAGTTTAGGTCTATAGAAATTAGATGCAGCATATGATCTATGGTTGCCACATTGAAATTAGACAAAAATTATACCTGACATTTATTGAACACTTGCAATGGGAAAGGGATTGTTCTAAGCAATTTTCATTTACTATCTCATTTTAATTCTCAAAACAACTCTGTGATACAGATAGTATTATCTCTATTTTATTTTACTAGGAAAAGTGAGGCACAGAGAAGTGAACAGAAGAGCCCAAGGTCGTGCAGATACCCAGTAGCAATGCTGGGATTTGAACCAGGCTGTTCAAACGCAGGCATTATGAACTGCTGTGACATATGATTTCCCAAGATTGGATACTATGATATTTTAGAAATAATTTTATAGCTTCCCAAACAGTCCCTAACAGATATGACAGTATTCAGGAAGTGCATTCCTGTCATTATAGGCATTCCAAAAACTAAGTAAAACACTGCTAGTATTACTTTTCCATCAACATTTACCAAAATCAGGCAAACTCATTAGTATAAGGCTCTGGTCTTTTTTTAAAGGAGATTTTAAATATGATTCATTAACAGTCGTGTTTTGTCATAAAATACATTTGCTTATAATTTATATGATTTTTAATATTAAAGTTCTTGCCAAAGTTTCTGTCTAATCTATTTATTCCTCAGGGACACCGCTGATGAATTATTATAAATTCCTGTAGGCATTATAAGTGCTAATTATTAACCTTCCTTGGGTATAATTCTGTATGTTTAATAAATAGCAATACTGATTTTTTAATGATATAAATTCTATATTTAATTTTATTTCCTTCTTTTCAGTCCTTGTAATTTATTCTTTTAATTTATGCTTAATGAAGTATAGTCTGTTTGCAATGTTGTGTCAATTTCTGATGTATAGCATGATGCTTCAGTCATACATGAGCATAAAGTTCTCTCTTTAATTTTATTAAAGAAATTTCTTCAAAACCTTTAGAACAATCAGGCTCTTATTCTAGCTAATGTAGCTTTATGTATACTGGAAAAAAATTTAATCACTACCCATTCCTAAGGAATTCAGCTTTAGCTTCAAGGAGATGGGGTCATCTTACGTTCTTGATTTCAAATGTCAAAAGTCTTTCAAAATTTACAAATACATCAAGAAAATGTCTTAAGTATACTCTGAGTGATAGTGGATTGGAATCCTGCTTACGAACTGAGTAATCTGAGACCCTAATCAACATTTTCCACTTCCTTGATAAAAGGACTTCTGTGTACATGGGCATATGACTTTCAGATTTTTATAAGTAATCTCTTTCCAGGGATCGATTATTTTAAATCTTTATTTTAAAACCCCATCAGGTGAAAAACATACTTCTACATTCATTATTAGAATGCTGTAGTTTTGTTAAGTGAAGAAATGTTGAAAGTTGATATTTTTTTCTATTTTTGTATTTACAGATGTTCGAAGAAGAACAATTTATGAATACCACCGAGTAGAACTACAAATGTCAAAAATTACCAATATTTCAGCTGTGGAGATGACCCCATTGCCTAGTAAGTTAACATGCAAACTTAACATGTAAGTTAGGTGCAAAAAATGATTTGCAAATTTGAGGTTCTGACCTGTGTTTGCATGGGTATCTTGACCCTGCGGATATATGGGGATGCAGCAGTGATTTTAATTTTGCTCTCTCCATGCTGCCAATTGGTCTTGATGAATCCATTCTCTTTGTTTCCTAGCCTGTCTCCAGTTTAATGGTTGTGGCCCGTGTGTATCCTCTCAGATTGGCTTCAACTGCAGTTGGTGTAGTAAACTTCAAAGGTAAAAAGGAACAACGCAAAAAATTTACAAACATTTTCAACCTTGTTGCTTCTACGGTTCCACTGAAGTTTGAATGTGTCGGGGTGATGATTCAGGATGCATGAACAAATGTGTATGTGTGAAAAAAGAATACCATGACCAAAATGCAAAAAATGCTCACGAGTGGGAATTTTAGTATTATCCTTTGATTGCTCAAAATTACCAAGAACCTTTGTAATCCATAAGATGGTTATCTGACATATGTTTATAACCACTATGGGGCTTACGATAGATGATGACTGTGATGGATGAGTCTATCAGTTGATGCTGTGGTCCTTATTCATCAGAAATC